CGACGAAAGCTTCAAACAAAGGGGACTAAGGGTCATGTCTCGCTCAAGCGAAAAGTGTACTCGCTTGAGCGACGAAAGCTTCAAACAAAGGGGACTCTCGGGTCATTATTTGCTCAAGCGACCGATGTACTCGCTTGAGCGACGAAGCCTTCAAAACAAAAGGGGACTCTCGGGTTCCATCTCGCTCAAGCGACCGGTGTACTCGCTTGAGCGAGCGAAGGAAGAAGAAAGGACTAGGTGGGAATTTTTGCAAAAGATCAAGGGTAAAATAGTCATTTCACATATTAGGGACATAAATGGAATTTTGAAAAAGATTAAGGGTATAATCGAAATAAAGTCAAACAGTATATTACCTCCTCTTTGTTTACTAGGAAAACGACTCAATAAACGTTAGAATTTGAGGATAGTGCCTTCATCAAAGTTATAGATTATTATGTTATCTTTCCAACACAATTGGAATCATCTTAAAATGAGGTCTAGAACTCAAGATATGGACAAAACACTGAACCCTATGAAATAAATTATTAATAAAATTTGTCTTGCTTAAAACAACTATGAATTGTAATTAAAATTTTGAATATATGAAGGAGATGTTTTTAAGTATTTAATTGATGATAGATTGTTTTGTTTCATACGAGACATAAACATAGTGCATGAAATGTTTTCTGAAGTCACAGAAAAGTTTTTACGAGAAAAGTATTTGGAAATTTCTCTTAAGTTGCTACTAAGGACGGTTGGTAGGAATAATGATGTGTAAAACAGAATTTTTACATTTTCCGTGAGTCAATTTACTATCAAGAGCATCTCGGTAGTGAAATATGACTATGAAAATGGTCGGCCAAATGAGACAGAGAATGAATTATTAAAAATTGAGCTACCAGAATCTCTCGATAGTAAATGGGGGAGTAGAATAGGTAAGACAGGACCTCCGGTCTATGGGGATGGACCTCTGGTCTAGGGAGTGTTTGGGCATGGGCAATTCCATAAGTGGCCGGTCTTTATTTGATTCTCGTGCCGTGGTAGCCTGCCGGTGCACCGACACTCGACTATCGTCTACTTGTTCGCGTTTAGTGGGACATTGCCGAATCACCGGACAGGGTGATGTTAAGCTCTGGTTCCACTAGACACTCAAATGAGTCTCCATGGAGCACCGAGTCAAAAATAATTTTTTTATTTTGAGTCAAAAGCATGATTTTAAAGTTTTACGTTTGGAGTCACATGTGCATATCATAAACATATTGCATGATAAAATTGTAAATTATTCATGATTTGTACGATATTCTCTATTATGATTCCATGATTTATTTATTTGTTTCTCATAATTAATTTTTAAATTAAATTATATATACGGTTGTATATTTATTAGAAGGAATTTTTCATTGGTTGATTTTATCGTATGAATGTTTGCTTTATTTGTTGTGGATAAAATTAAATGTCTAACCCCATAAATATTTCAATCCCGGATGTTGGTGACGTATGATGCCTGAATATATAGTCCAAGAGATAGATGTCGGATGCAAAAATCCGGAGCTTAGGTTGGGAATTGTATAACATATAAGTATAACTTCATGACTTGTAATATTTTGAAAACTTTGTACTAGAACTTGTTGCTTGATTTAATATAAAATCTTACCTAAATTAATTGTTCACTTAGTATATTTTCTATTAACCTTCTATGAATATTGAAAATATTACTAACTTAGATAATAAATTAGAATTAATAAATGTAATCTGTAAGGGGGTTACATGTAACACCTCAAAATTTATCATGTAAAATTTTTCAAATATAATATATTAAATTATACTATTGAGTAATTTAAATATATTTGTAATAAAACAAGCATTTATTAAAAGAAAAATTATTAATAAAAATAAATAAAAATTTATTAAAATTTATTATTATTTAATTTATAAAAATAAAAGAAGAAAAAATATTAATTATTATTTTTCTTTTTAAAATAAATAATATTATTAAAAAAAAGATGAGGTTACCTTATCTAAAAAGGGAGATAAGTTTTATCCTATAGTCATGATTAGTCATTTAATAGGCTAATTAAATAAATTTTAAGAAAAAAATTGGCTATAAAAAGGGTTAGAGGTGGGAGATGGTACTATACGAGAGAAAGGTGAGCAAGAGAAAAGAGAGAAAAAAAAGAGAAAGAGAGAAAAAGAAAAGTAACTTTATAGTCATGAAGTGAGGTGTCCTTAACTTCATTTTATGTATTTTATCATATTTATTTATATCTATTTACACACTTGTTTTATCTATAGTTACATTCTAATCATATTATATTTAATTATTTTATCTCTAGTTATGCATTAGTCTTCTTTTATATTTATTTATTTACGTCTAATTACATATTTATCTTGTTTTATATTTATTTATCTTGTCTCCAATTATGTACTTGATCATCTTTTATATTTATATTTATCTCTAGTTATACATTAATCCTTATTCATGAATTTATATTTATATTATTAGATTGTTGATTAAATTTTCTTAAAGAATAAATATTTATTTATAAAGATTTGATGATATTGTAGATAGAGGTTGAACCTTAAGGATTAAAATGAGTAAATATCACTTAAAAAATAATTAAAATTGGGTTCATTTATCCTAACTAGTCACTACAAATTTAATTTAAATCTTCATAATATAAAATATGATAATGAAATTGAAAAATAGATTTTATATATCATTATGAGATTATATTATTTATGTGATAATTATTCTCCCTTTCCTACTTTTATCTTTTGTGTATCTTATAACTAAAAATATCAACCTAAATAAATGGAAGTATAATGTTAGAAGACAAATATAATTAATAAATCAACAACTCTTGAAAGAAAAATGCTTGTCAATTCTCATAATTATTACTAATTTTGAAGTAATATAAACTTATAATATATATATATATATATATATATATATTATAATCAAATAATAAAGTTAAATTAATAATATAATAAAAAAGGACCTCACAAAAATTTTATTAAATTTCTAATATGTATAAAATTTTAATAAATTATAATATAAAAACATTCATAATTTTATATTTATGAAAAAATTATATTTAATAAAAGACATTTATGGATTTTTTTTTATCTTTGTAACTATTTGCTTAAGGGAAATTGACGTGACAATAGTTAAAAAATAATAAAATAAAATCACACTTAGTTAAATATCAATATTCTATCTTCTTGTTTAAATACAAACTATATGTTTTAAATGAATGTTTGTTTACTCAAATTTTTTCTTAACCTGATTTCAATATTCATATATATTTTTTTAATAAACTATCAAAAGTACTATATAAAAAAATAAAAAGGTTTTTAAACCATAAAGGAACAAAAACACGATTATTAGGTTGAAAGAGCAAATTATGGGGTGGAGATAACATTTATCTTGTACTATATGATAAGGTGGACTTAACTATGTTGAGTGGGCTTGTGTTATCCAATATAAAAGACATTCTTCTGGTAACTTTATTTTCTTCTTACATCTCCATAATCTATATTAAATGATAAAAATATTCTTTATATTTTTAACTTCTGCCATAAATCTCCATGCTATTGTATCTTCTTTATTCTTTTGTGTTACACAGGGAACACCACCACCGTCAGTGATGACACGGAAAAAGAAATATAATGAATCTATATATTATTATTTCGAATCCACTTTTATAAAAAAAAAAAATTGAAAAAATTTCAAATTGATTTTTCTTGGATGATCTTAAAAAATGTTTTGAAATCAGCTTTCCGACAAAAAAAAGAGAAAAAAAAATGAAAATTGATTCCAAATGCTTCTGAAGAGGTAAATTATAAATTTTTTGGAAAAATTTATTTAAAATTATTTTGAATTAATGTTTTAGAAATTTCAGAGATTTTTGGATTGCAAGGAAAAACACCTCAATACAAAACACACCCAATTCTTCTTTTCAAGTTTCAATCAGATTAAAGAATACGAAATCTACTTTGCACAGGTTGGGGCGAAATCATTGTATGGTATGAAGAAGTTGAAGATGTCAGAGTAAATAATTTAATACATTTTTTTTCGATAAAATGTTGAATTTTGTTTTCGTCTTTAATAACTTTTTTAATATTTTCAATATCTAATATTTTTGTTATTCTTTTATCTAAAATATTGGTATCGATAATGCTCTTCCAACAGCAAAATAAAGTATTTAGTAATAAAAATAAAATAAAAATTTATTGAAAACAAAAAATTCAAACAACATTATTAGCGACCAAAGGCAAAATAAAAAAATTTATCAAAGATAAAAATCATATTGGATGTATGGTAGAAGGGAGATCTTAATTTCCTGGAAATCTGAAATTAGAAACTATGTTTTTCATATTTGGTTTACATTCTCATAAAGAACATCTTACAGAAATTATTTTTAAAAGTTTCCCACAAAAAAAATCGAATAAGGTGTGATGCAACTTTTCCGAATTAATATGACAATAAATTAAAAATTTTCAATAAAAAAATTCACTACTTTTTTCTTTTTAGAAATTTTATATAAATATTTTTAGCTATATTTTTTTCTAACCATACAAAATTTATTGCTTCAAATCGGTATAACAGCATGTCACATTATGGAAACCATTAATTAGTCTAATATCTTAATTACTCCTTTATCATTATACAATAAGAAAAGTAATATTTATCTTAAGAACTGGTTTCAAATTGGTGATTCAAATGGACCAAATAATTTTGAATCAAATTGGATTCAATAATACTCCGCCATCTTTTCCCTGAATTTGATATTAGGAAGAAATTCAGTAGTCATTTCTGGTATTTCCTCCCCTTTTAAATTCTTTATAAATAGGAATTTATGTGTAAGACTGTAACCATGAAATCAAAGAATGACTTCATAGTAAGGTAAAATGATACAATTTGGGAAAACCATTGGTAACAACAAGATATGAACACAACACCAAAAATATAATTAAGACTTTGACAACTTATTTCACAAACGATCAGAACAAGACCATTGTTACCTAGGTAGTTTTCCCAGCATTACTTGTGAAGAAGCACCACTTGTATACAAAGATTTAAGCTGTCTACTTATGAGTTTGCTATTAGCCTGCTGAAGTTTTGCATCACTTGACCACCACTGTTCCAAGGCATGAGCTTCATGAAACTTCTGCTTTTCCTTGGTGACCACATACAACTTGGCTGCAACTTGTCCATTTGTTGGACCAACATTCTCCTTGTCAGCATCATTCTTCTCCCCTGAGCATTCAGGGTCTGTATAAGAGCAACATATGTAGTCACTGTTGTTTACATACAGATGAGGAACCCATTTTCCCACCCCAAAACCAGTATTCTTGAAGCTAGATAACCGTGGTACCCAACTATTCAGTCCTATGCTCAGAGTCTTATCTCCATCAGTTCTAGCTTGAGTTTCCTCACTACTTGAAGAAGGAAGCATAGACTTAAGTCTCTTCCAAACCAACTCAGCCTTTTCTCCAATGTTTCTGAGACTCATGGCTAGCGAAACTGAAGGTGGATTGAACAAATGTGTCTCCACATAAATGCCATCTTTTGCCAATGCTTTTCCCACTTGAAGAGCAAAACCAGCTCCCAATGAATGCCCTGCAATGCAAACATTGCTGCTTCCATATGCGTCTGAGATGGATTTCAGTACCTCCAAAGCTACCTTAAACCTGACAGAACCCTTCAGGCTTTCGCAGGCCAGAAATCTAAGGTCATCTTCGATATCTCTTCGCATTGTCGGGCTTTTGAGCAATGTTCCTCTTAGAGCTAAAACAGCTTTGGGGGCACCACTTGGTCTGATTAGTACCAAGTCAGCCATTGCTGCAGATCTGTCCCATTCAAGTATTGCACCAAAAATGGATCCATCTCTTTCATCAATCAGTGTTTGTGTGAGCTTGTACTTGAAGGGAATCCACCAATTTGGAGCTAGAGCGTTTTCTTGTGTTCGGTTCTCTTGTCTGTCAAGTTCAAGCAGGTAAACTGCCTGTATAAAACAAGCAATGACAGTTCTTTTATAATTTGCATCCTTCCTACATAAAAACAAAATAGTTATCAATATACACTGACATTGGAAGAATGTATTCAGAGCCAGTAAAGCTTGGATGCTTTCCCATCAGGATCAAAATGGCATCTATGACGAATAAGGCTCTCTTGCTAGAGTTAATAATGGTAATATGAAAGTGTGAATGAATGAGAAAAAGTTAATGATTTTCAAATGTTTTAAAATAATATTATTTTTAATAATTTTTTACATATATTGGTCAGAAGACGGACCGTCTCATAAAACTTTGTTTGAGTCAATGATGGAACACATATATGAAGTTTAGAGGTTAGTGTATGACATTCAGCTTGTGTTTCATATAATAATACTCATCATTGAGCATTGCCCCAAAATTGCTGTTGAGTACATCACAAATTGCATTGAAAAATATGCATCTACCTCAACAGGAAAAATTATGCAACAGGAATTCAAAACTTCAAGATGATTTAACAGGCATGATCAAGAAGGTATAATAAAACTATTGAATATTATGTGATCCAACCCCTCATAAATAAAACATCAGACATTGACCACTTAGTTTGTTTATAGCATCAAGAGAAATAAAATCTGAAGGAGTTCAACTATATATATTCAAAATTAAAGATGTTCTGATTATTCAGAACTTCCTCAACCACCCAATAGTCAATAGTCGAAACCCAACTTACCTGATTCAAAATTGTCTAGGTTCCAAGCCATTGCAAATATCTCAAACAAAAGCACAAGGGTTCAAGAAAAAGCAAAAACTAAGAAGCAAAAATTTGTTTTTACAGAGGGGAAAAGTATATGAATTTTTTCTTTCCAGAACTTACCAAGGATAAAATTTACCAAACTATAGGGCGGCAAAATCAACCCACAAAAGACCATTATGTATAAATTTAAATTAAAAATTATAAATCGACTAATCGAGTCTTCGTCGAAGACAATTCCTAATAATAGTGAACAATCACATTAATGACCTCGTTAATAATAATGGTGGAGGAAATCTGTAAATCAGGGTCCCAAATTTATATTTCAAATACTTCTTCATTAAGAAGCTAAAAAATTGGGTATCAAACTGGAAATCTAAAAACAAATATAATAAAGCAGTTCAATTTCGAAACAAATTAGACCTCCCAAACCAAAAAAAAAAAATGATCAACATATTTGGAAACTAAAAGAAGATACACATCAGTTAGATGATATTGAAGAAGAAACCCATCTCTAATTTAATGCGACACGCCAAAGCCAGTTGATTCGATTTGATCGAAATTCTTTCAACCCAAACCATTGACATTCAAACCCCATACCTGAAATTCAAATTCCCCATAAACCCATTTTTTAAACTTTTCAACCTCATGCTAAAATCTAAAACTTCAAAGCATATGACACATCACACAAGAAACCAAACATTCGCGTTACCACCATACGCATAAGCCAAGTTACAAAGTTTCCACAACAAGGTTCGACCATTGGGCCAAATGGAGGCAAAAAGAAACAACCCCACATGCCAAAAGCTAAATTTTTCCCAGATTCAAACGAATTAAAGCAAGAAACGAAAAGGGTATACCCACCAGCTTGAACTGATAAGGTCTCTCCAGTTAAGGTTGGCCAAATTACGAGGACCAGAGACATGAAAGGCGTAAGGGTGAGACGCTTCTTCTTCTTCTTCTTCTTGAACCACTTCCTTTATTCCTTCCTCTTCTTTGGTCACTGGGCTTGTTGGTTGTGTGCTCATGGTGATGCTGCAGAGAGAAAGAGAGAAAGTGTGAAAAAGAGTGTCTTTCCTTTGTGGGAACTAGTTGATTCAAAAGAACAACATAATTCAAAAACAATTCACAATTCGGATCCCACTATGTAACGGTCATATTACCATCATCTGCCCGTTTTTTCCTTTTTTAAATTTATTTTTTATCAACGAAAAATGAATTGAAATTTTGGATTTTTTTTATGTCATCTATTTATTATTTTTCTATAATTTATTGAAATAAATAATTTGCTAAGTAATAAAAATTATAATAACTATTTTTAATATGAGTTATATTTAAAATTTATAGCAGAAAAGTTTAAATGTTTATATAAAGTAATTTTAACTATTTATAATATTTTTAAAATTATATCTCAATTCAGATATAAAAAAAAATTAAATTAAATGAGATAAATAATTAAGTAGATCCAATAAATAAGACAAATGCGATTTAAATAATGTTAGATTAAAATCATTGAAACCGAATCTATTTAAAAGAACTGAAAGAAAATTTTCTTTTGAGATATTTATTTTTTATTTCATGAAAATATAATATTAGAAAAATAAATTAAAACATGAAGACCAAGAAAAATAATTACATACTTGTTAGTGAAAAATCGATACAAGGATCGAAAAACGGAAGAGAGAAAATCAAAGATCATATGAATGATTAAAAAGTTGATAAATCGAAAACATGGTTGGAAAACATTCGATGACCATGAGACAATATGAACACATAAATCGAGAATGGAAATCGAGAATTAGAAGATAGAGGAAATTCGATGAAAGTAAGAAATCGATAATAAAGTATGGAGTGTAAAGTTAAGATTAAGAGAAATCATATTCGATATCTGGAATCGAAATCGAGGGAAATGGTTATCATGCACATGGAACATGGGAAGTGACTTTCCAAATCATGGCTAAAGTTAGAAATCAAGGAACGGTTAAAGTGCACATGGAATGTGGAAGCGGTTTTCTAAATCGTAGGCTAAGGTAAAAATTGAGGAACGTCCACATGGAACGTGGTGACAATTTTTAAACTGCTCTAGGGAGGTTACGTTGAAGGATGCCTATAAATAGAATGAAGCTGGAAGAAGAAGGGGAAATTGGCAGAGACAACAGAAACACAAGTGAAAAGTCTACCGGAGAATGACGAATCATGAAGTTTTTGGCGATCTGGATTTTCATTCTCATTGACTATTTTTACCGCTTTCTTTACTTTCCCTGGTAACTTATTTTCAGGCAATTTACATTCATCAATTTAAGTTTCCATACTTTCAATTACTTGTCAGTTATCTTTAATGCAATTTAAGATTCTGTATTTTCAAATGCTTGTCATTTACCGTTTCTGCAATTTCGACGTCCTGTCATTTACTTTCATGCAATTTTAATTATGTCATTTATAGTTAATGCAATTTTGAGGTTTCCGCAATTTTACATTATTTTGCAATTTAATCTGCATTGCTTCTTCGAGTGTTTTAGTATAAAATATCAAAAATAATACTCTCGATTGTCAATCGGAACACTAGGTGACGTTGTTAACTTTTCTTGACATTATGAGATTTTCGATCCTCATACATATTTCGATTGAAAAACCGTTTGCTGGCCTAAGTAAAAAGAATCTACGTGGTTGAAATTTGTTTAGAATCAAAATCTCCATTAAATCGAAATCGATCAAATTTCCACTTGAAACAAATTGGCGCGCCAGGTAGGGGAGACGTTGTGTCGAGAAACACAAAAAATTAGCTAGTTCGAAAGTGTATGAGATTAAGGAGTGAGCGAGTAATAAGAATGAGTCAAAATCCACCGAATAGTCAGAATAATAGTGAGATTCTAAATAGTTCACATCCACCAAACACTTGGGGGCAAGTTCACAATGGGAATATGCTTGTAACATCGACAACTGCGAGTGCTTCGATGCCTGTGAGTACTGAACAAAGCCCAGGCACATTAGCAAATACTCAGTTAGGATCTAGTATTGTAATGTCAAACAATATGCAAACTATGGGAAACCCCGTAACAACATATGCATGTCCGCATATGAGTGTAAGGCCGCTTGGTTTTTCGTTTAATAATATGAATGAGGCTGGTACTTCTTCAATACAACGAAGTACGAGATTTAGCTTAGGAATGCCCCAAAACTTAGGAACGTTTCAAACCTTGGGTATGCCTCAAAATTTTGGAGTATCCCCAAATTTAGGGGTGTCTCAAAATTTAGTAACACCCCAGAATTCAGGGAATGCGCAGAATTTAGGATCACAACAGACGCCTCCAATATCAAACCTAGATCACGGGAGATATGCATTCGATAGAGATTATCATCGATCCAATTTTGAGACTATCGAAAACGCTAGTACTGGAATTTCCAGTAATTCATTAGGAGTGCTTCGACAACAAATGGATGAAAGCAATTTCAAGATGATTAACATGTTATCACAACAGCTGACTACAGTATTGAACCCATTAGTTCAAAACACTACCACTAGTTTTGAGATATTAGCAGACCAAATGACACGTATCGGGGATGCATTGGCAATACCTCGACAAACGAGGGTCGAAAATAATGTCAATCAGAATAATAACCAAAACGTTAATATCAATCCCCTTTATTTATTAAGGAGAAATCGAAACAATGATCAACATCAGCATGTGGGGAATGAATATCAACATGTGAGGAATGATATTTGCGGGAATTTAAATGAGGGATTTCAAAATATGTACAATCAGAATAACATGCAGTACAATCACATGCTGGGACAAAGGATGAATTCCCAAGGAGTGGAATTAAGACCACCCAATCAACCGTACTTTGTTTCTCCATTTCCAAATACGATTCTCGAGACAAAATTACCTCGAGGATACAAAATACCCAAATTCACCAAATTTGCTGGAGAAATTGGTGAATCCACTATCGAGCATGTTGCGCGATATCAAATCGAATGTGGAGACCTAGCGATGAGTGAGGAATTAAAAATGAAATACTTCCCTAGTTCGTTAACAAAGAATGCTTTCACTTGGTTTACTTCATTGCCACCTAATTCGATATATAATTGGTTGCAGCTAGAAAGAAATTTTCATGAGCAATTCTTTAGGGGGGAGACTCAAGTAAGTCTTATCGACTTAATGAATATAAAGAGATATAATCATGAAAATATAGATGATTATTTGAATAGATTTAGACAAATGAAGTCGAGATGTTTTACTCAAATTGCCGAATTTGAATTAGTCATAATGACCTCTGCAGGCTTAGAATTCTCGATTAGGAAGAAGTTAGTTAATTTACCATTGAATGACATGGCTCAGCTAGTCGATAAAGTGAGAAGAGTGGAACAAATCGAATATGAGAAACAGAGGTACAAGAAATTTGAGAAACCTATGAAGAAGGATAGGGTAGCATATATAAATGACATATATGAGGAAAATACCAGGACAGAAGTAGATATTAAAGAATCTGTCGATGAGAAAGTACATATATTTGTAAATTGCTACAGAAAAATGAAGTAAAAGACAAAATGTCAAATCGCACATATACTTTTGATGTAACAAAGGCAGATAAAATCTTTGATATTTTATTGAAAGATAAACAGATTAAGTTGAGTGATGATCATAAATTACCTTCTGCAAAACAAAGAAATGGTCGAAAATATTGGAAATTTCATAATATTTATGGACACTGGACTAATAATTGTATACATTTCAGGAACACGATACAAGATGCGATCGACCAAGGAAGATTGAAGTTTGAGGAAATGTCAATGAAAGTGGATACGAGTCCATTTGAAGTTCAAGTAGGGTATGTCGAATCCCAGACGAGCATGACTGAAGATGTCCGATTGATAAATTCGACCTTTATAGGTATGGTCAATGTTACTGAAGACATTGATTCCAGACATGTCAGAATGGACATGTCAGAAGAAGACATAGAATTTGACCTAAGTGAGTTCGAGAAAGAATTTGTGAGAGAGATCTATCCTCGATCAGAAGATTCCCTCGTCGAATTTCTAACCAGAAAGAAAGAGAAGGACGAAGGTGTGACATTATGTCCACGATGCAGTGTGGTGTTCGACGGATCAGCTCGCTAAAACCTTCGTAGGCGTGACAGATCAAGAAAATAGAGGATCAACATAAAAGTTGCAATGTTAAAGAAGATCAAACAAGTCCAAGCAACGGTAGGGGAGAATCAGCAGTAAATCGTTAGTTCCGGTGCTAGTAGAAATCGAAATAATGGGTTAGGAAAGAAATGTATTCTCCTCGGGAGGAAGAGACAGAACTTCAAAATAATGATGTTTTCGATAGACTTTCATATGATGAAAGATCAAATATTGGATTCCCTACATTCCAAAGGAGATTTCGAGGAAGGCCTTGGAGGAGAGGAGGAAGGATCCCTTACTGGGGAAGGATCAATAATTATAGAAACTTTGAAGAAAGTAATATACCAATTGGGGGTCAGTATGTAAGAGACTTTATCGATGGCAAAAATGAAGATAGTTGGGATGGACATCAGATTGGAGTAATATCGATACTACCCGCGGAGTATGTTAGCGAATATGAAGAGTTTCAAGAGAAAAGTAATGTCAATCGAGAGGACGATTTCTATTCCGAAGAAATGAGACCGAAAGTGACATGGGTGACACAAGCATCATGCGAATTACCCCATAGAGATGTTGCTTTTATCGATCCTCCATCCGAGGAAATGAGGTTTCATTTGAAACCCTTATTGCTGAACATCGAAATTCAAGGACAAAAGGTGAATAAGGTCCTTGTTGATGGTGGTGCAGCGGTGAACATATTGCCAATCACTATGCTGAAGAGGTTTGGTATCAAATTGAAAGACTTAGTCAGGCATAATATCATGATTTCTGATTTCAGTGGGAAATCATCGAGCTCAGAAGGCATGATTGCCTTAGATGTGAAAGTGGGTACTTATTCGAGGCCCACTGTTTTTGTAGTTGTCCAATCACATGCCAACTTTAATGCGTTGCTTGGCAGGG